GCGTTTTTCCTTAGCGCTTCGAATGGCGCGAATTAGTCTACGCGCTTATGTCTCCGCGGATAAGGGCTTCGCGGTTTTGTCGTGCCACGGCTGGTTTATACAGTAGTCCTCAATGTACAGTGGAGCAGATTCATTTACATTTTGAAAGTGCAAAATGGGATCACTTGATCCACGTGGAGAAACACGCCCGTCTCAGTGTAGGAGGACTGCTCCGGAGCATGACTTGAATGAAAGGGATTCACAGTCATATGACAAAGTCATTTCCCTTTCATTCTGAATCACTTCCTTTGGGAAGGTCGCCGTTCCTCAGTTTTCTTTCTCAAGGCCTGTTGAGACAGTAATTTCCTGAGCCCACTGTAAGTTGGCTACCGGAATATAGTAGTCCTCAACTTACGACCACAATTGGGCCCGAACTTTATGTTGTTAAGTGAGACATTTGTTAAGCGAGTTTTGCCCCATTTTACATTTCTTGCCAGTTAAATGAATCACTGTAGTCGATAAGTTAGTAACCTGGTTGTTAAGTGAATCTGCCTTCCCCATTGACTTTGCTGCTCAGGTTGCAAAAAGTGATCGCGTGGCCTGCAGTGGTCATAAGTATGAACCAGTTGCTAAGCATCTGAATTTTGATCACATGATCATGGGGATGCTGGAAAGGTGGTAACCGTGAAAAGGGGCCATAAGTCCGTTTTTTTCAGTGACGTTGTAACTTGGACAGTCACTAAATGAATTGTTGTAAGTTGAGGACTAGCTGTATACTTTCAATTTTATCCAGGAGCTTAGTTTAGGGTACATAGCACTTCCTCTTCTATCTCATCCCATCATCAGGGTTTGGGGCCAAGACAGACTGGCCAAAGTATCACCCTGAGCTTCCATGGCCAATAATGAATTTAAACTTTCATGTCCTTTGTCCAAAGTGTAACTTTTTCCTACCACAACTTCTCCCTTCACGGTGATGCAATGTGATTATTCAGCATTATTAATATTTAGCATAATTCAGTTTTTAATAGGAACTTCTTACTGTGAGGTTGAACTACATTCCTAAAACAGAATCTATAACAGCTCCATCACAACTGCAGCATAGCAACAACAAAAAGAAAAAGTTACA